GTGTTTGTGTGTGTGTGTGTGTGTGTGTGTCTGTGTCTGTCTGTGAGTGTGTGTGTGTGCGTGAGTGTGTGTGTGTCTGTGTCTGTGTGTGAGTGTGTGTGTGTGCATGAGAGAGTGTGTATGTGTGAGTGAGAGTGTGTGTGAGAAAGAGTGAGTGTGTGCGAGTGTGAATGTGTGAGTGTGTGTGAGAGTGAGAGCTCAGACCCGCCCACTCCGGGTGACGTCTGGCCCCTCCACACTGCAGTCATTCATTCAAATAGTGAGCTGGCCGCTGGATCAAGTTTACTCTTCTGAGGAGCTTCTGGAGCAAATACTGTGAGAGCAGCTACTCGATCAGAGCTCAGGATCTGATTGCTTATCTCCTGCAGATCCGCTGAACGTTCAGCCGTGTGTTTTCAGGAGGAAGAGCTCTGCTGACACCTGCACCATGAGGAAGGGCTCCTGCTGCATGTTCACGTCGGGAGTCGCCGGCGCTGTTCTCCTGATCATGGGAATCAGCCTCTTTGTGTCCGGACTCTTCCAGACCTTGATCCACAACAAGCTGAAGAGGGTAAGAGTCTGCTTTCAACTCATTCATCAGCTGTCTTTGCTGAGGACGGGGAAGTTTATTATGTCAGCTAAATATTATAATTTTATAATGTTTATAGTATTTTTATAAAAAATATATATTTGATATATTTACATTTTTAAAAAGTGTAACATTTTAAAAAAACTTTTAAATGTTTTTAGTGTGTTATTTTAATTTTAAATTTTTATGATTAAATTTTTCGGAAGGGTTTTATATTGATTATTTTGAAATTATTTATTTTAAATGTTCATTTTTATGATTTATTTAATTTTTTATAGTGTTTTGTATTAATTTTATTTTAAATGATTATTATTATTATTTTGTAATTTTACATTTTTATGGTTTATTTCAATTTTAGTAAGTGCTCTTTATTGATTGTATTTATTTTTAAATAATTTAATTCTATATTGATTATTCAAATTTTTATGGTTTAATGTTTAAATATTTTTTAAATTTTAATTGGACACTTTTTAAATGTATTTATTATTATAATTATTTTAATATTTCAATTATTTTTTATTTTAATTTTACATTATGATTGATTAAAAATGTAATAAGTGTTCTATACTATTTTTATTTTAAATTATTTATTTGATCAATTTTATAATTGCTTAAATTTTTTGTAAATGTTCTATATTGATTTTTTATTTTTCAATTATTATTTTAATTTGACATTTTTATGATTTATTAATTTTTAGCAAATATTCTGTATTGATTAATTAAAAAAATAATTTTAATTTAAAATTTGTATAATTTATTTAATTTTCAGTAAGTGATTGATTGATTGATTGATTGATTTTTTGGAATGATGCAGTGGAGGGAAACGGTCACATTTGTGTGCAGCAGGTCTCAGTGGAGCATGTGCTCGGTGTAATCAGAGTGACGTGTAACATGTGCTCGGTGTTTCCGTCTTCACTGCATATGCTCCGATTTCTCTTCCTCTTATAGAGCGTCATGTAAATGTCACGTCTGCAGAGATGGTTTGTCAGATGATGTAGAGAACAAGGAGTTAGTAACAGTGAATCACCTGCTGGAACACAAATGTCTCTTATTGACTTTTGAAAGTAAATGCTCTGCATCGCACGAGTGTGAAATCAGCCGATCAGTTGTGTTCTGAGAGTTTTGTGTTTTAACATTGAATCCGAACTCTCTGTTTGTATGTGATCGGCTGCAGCAGCTCATGCTGAACAGGAAACATATTGTGTGGATTTGCTGAATGTCATGCTTATGTGTGTGTGTGTTTGTCTGTGTCTGTGTCTGTGTGTGTGTGTGTGTGTGTGTGTGTGTGTGTGCGTGTGTGTGTGTGTGTGTGCGTGCGTGTGTGTGTGTGTATGTGTGTGTGAGAGAGTACGTGTGTGTGTGTGTGAGAGTGTGTGTGTGTGTGTGTGTGTTTGTGAGAGAGAGTGTGTGTGTGTGTGTGTGTGTGTGTGTGTGTTTCGGCTGCTCATCTACAGACAGATCACTGTATGTTCAACTGGACAGTCTTAAGTTCTTGTATTGTAACTCAGCTAAATCTGCAGCTCCAAAACTACAAGCACATGCTGTTTTTATTGTAAGATAAAGTTATTTTACCAGGGTAGCAATTTGGCGTCACAGCCCAGAGCCAGGAATGATTGAAGTGTGAAATCAGTCGATCAGTTGCGTTCTGAGAGTTTTGTGTTTTAACATTGAATCCGAACTCTCTGTTTGTATGTGATCGGCTGCAGCAGCTCATGCTGAACAGGAAACACATTGTGTGGATTTGCTGAATGTCATGCTTATGTGTGTGTGTGTGTGTGTGTTTGTCTGTGTCTGTGTCTGTGTCTGTGTGTGTGTGTGTGTGCGTGTGTGTGTGTGTATGTGTGTGTGAGAGAGTACGTGTGTGTGTGTGTGAGAGTGTGTGTGTGTGTGTGTGTGTTTGTGAGAGAGAGTGTGTGTGTGTGTGTGTGTGTGTGTGTGTGTTTCGGCTGCTCATCTACAGACAGATCACTGTATGTTCAACTGGACAGTCTTAAGTTCTTGTATTGTAACTCAGCTAAATCTGCAGCTCCAAAACTACAAGCACATGCTGTTTTTAGTGTAAGATAAAGTTATTTTACCAGGGTAGCAATTTGGCATCACAGCCCAGAGCCAGGAAGGATTGAAGCGGTCAGACGGCTCCAGGAAAGGGGTTGGTTTGAGCCGTCCATGTTTAAATGCGTCTGCAAACAACTGATTATATGTGAGACATCAAACTCCTCAGATCGGCCTCGCCTGCTTTCATCTGGATGTTTGGGAGAGTAAATCACACACTCATGCTGCAGCTTCTGGGAGTTTCTGATTTCCTGCACGGACAGAGTTTTGACTACAGAAGGAAAATGTGGAAATCATGCTGATGACAGAGTAAAGCATGAATCTGTCATTCAGTAGCAGCATTAATGCAGGAAATTCTGAACCCAATTTACATAATCGATAAGAGAAATTAATACTATTATTCATCAAGGATGCATTAAATTAATCAAAAGTGGCAGTAAAAACATTAATAATGTTACAAAAGATTTTTATCACAAATAAAAATTTTAATAATATTTCACAATTTTACTGTTTTTACTGCATTTTTTTATCAAATAAATGCAGCCTTGGTGAGCAGAAGATATTTCTTTCAAAAACAACAAAAATCTTTTTTTAATTACTTACTTAAAATAACTAAAACTAATAAATAATAATAAATAAAAACTATATAGACTTTTTTTAAATTCCAAAACCTAATAAAAAATTTTTTTAAATAAAAAACACAACAAAATTAACACTTTAACCAAACTTTCAAAAACATTACATTGTCAATGTTTAAAAAAAATAAAAAAATAAACAATCCATTTTATTTAAATATATATTTATATTTATTAATTTACTTATTATTTCATAATCTATATTAATATTTATTTCAGCTAGTTTGCAAGGCTTCATTTTTGTTTAGTTTAAACGAAAAGTACTAAAATAACTATAAAATAATAACAAAAAATGAATAAAAACTATACAGTTACATTTTTATTAAAAACACAACAGAACGAACACTTGAAGATAAATTAAAGTGAAACAGAAAATATTTTCAAAAAATACAAAATTCATGAAAAATTCAAAATATTAGCAAAGACTATAACGGTAAATCAAATAAGACTGTCTTACACTGAGATCAGCATTTGCTTGTAGTTTTAGAGCTGCAGATTTAGTCAGAAAAGCTATGAATTTATTGTCAGACTAATATGCAGAATATTTGGGCATCTAGTACTGCGGCACACAGTCTGTTTAACGCTGGTTTGTGTCTGAGCTCATTCCTTCAGTTCTCCAGATAATCAAACACATGAAAACACAGGCCCGAGGAGGAGAAAATCAGCCGTTTGAGTCTGAGAAAGAAAACACACACATCCTAGTTAGTGCGGTTTGCTAAGCTGTATCTTTAGTTGACATCAGCCTCCGAGGATCTGAAGGCTTTTCGGTTTATTTCGCTAACTACACACGATTAAATGGTTAGATTAAATGCCGTTTTTCTGTTCTGCTTTTTTCCAGAACCCAGTTTACACTACCATTCAAAGAGAGAGAGTGTGTGTGTGTGTGTGTGTGTGTGTGTGTGTTTCGGCTGCTCATCTACAGACAGATCACTGTATGTTCAACTGGACAGTCTTAAGTTCTTGTATTGTAACTCAGCTAAATCTGCAGCTCCAAAACTACAAGCACATGCTGTTTTTAGTGTAAGATAAAGTTATTTTACCAGGGTAGCAATTTGGCATCACAGCCCAGAGCCAGGAAGGATTGAAGCGGTCAGACGGCTCCAGGAAAGGGGTTGGTTTGAGCCGTCCATGTTTAAATGCGTCTGCAAACAACTGATTATATGTGAGACATCAAACTCCTCAGATCGGCCTCGCCTGCTTTCATCTGGATGTTTGGGAGAGTAAATCACACACTCATGCTGCAGCTTCTGGGAGTTTCTGATTTCCTGCACGGACAGAGTTTTGACTACAGAAGGAAAATGTGGAAATCATGCTGATGACAGAGTAAAGCATGAATCTGTCATTCAGTAGCAGCATTAATGCAGGAAATTCTGAACCCAATTTACATAATCGATAAGAGAAATTAATACTATTATTCATCAAGGATGCATTAAATTAATCAAAAGTGGCAGTAAAAACATTAATAATGTTACAAAAGATTTTTATCACAAATAAAAATTTTAATAATATTTCACAATTTTACTGTTTTTACTGCATTTTTTTATCAAATAAATGCAGCCTTGGTGAGCAGAAGATATTTCTTTCAAAAACAACAAAAATCTTTTTTTAATTACTTACTTAAAATAACTAAAACTAATAAATAATAATAAATAAAAACTATATAGACTTTTTTTAAATTCCAAAACCTAATAAAAAATTTTTTTAAATAAAAAACACAACAAAATTAACACTTTAACCAAACTTTCAAAAACATTACATTGTCAATGTTTAAAAAAAATAAAAAAATAAACAATCCATTTTATTTAAATATATATTTATATTTATTAATTTACTTATTATTTCATAATCTATATTAATATTTATTTCAGCTAGTTTGCAAGGCTTCATTTTTGTTTAGTTTAAACGAAAAGTACTAAAATAACTATAAAATAATAACAAAAAATGAATAAAAACTATACAGTTACATTTTTATTAAAAACACAACAGAACGAACACTTGAAGATAAATTAAAGTGAAACAGAAAATATTTTCAAAAAATACAAAATTCATGAAAAATTCAAAATATTAGCAAAGACTATAACGGTAAATCAAATAAGACTGTCTTACACTGAGATCAGCATTTGCTTGTAGTTTTAGAGCTGCAGATTTAGTCAGAAAAGCTATGAATTTATTGTCAGACTAATATGCAGAATATTTGGGCATCTAGTACTGCGGCACACAGTCTGTTTAACGCTGGTTTGTGTCTGAGCTCATTCCTTCAGTTCTCCAGATAATCAAACACATGAAAACACAGGCCCGAGGAGGAGAAAATCAGCCGTTTGAGTCTGAGAAAGAAAACACACACATCCTAGTTAGTGCGGTTTGCTAAGCTGTATCTTTAGTTGACATCAGCCTCCGAGGATCTGAAGGCTTTTCGGTTTATTTCGCTAACTACACACGATTAAATGGTTAGATTAAATGCCGTTTTTCTGTTCTGCTTTTTTCCAGAACCCAGTTTACACTACCATTCAAAGAAACGAATGCTTTTGTTAGTCAAGGATGTATTCAAATGATCAGAAGTGCATTTGAAATGTTACAATGTTTCAGATAAGTGCTGTTCTTTTGAACTTTCTATTCATCGGTGAATCCTGAAAAATAAAAAGTATCACCGTCTTCACACAAATATTGGTCAGCACAACTGATTTACACATTGATAATAATCAGAAATGTTTCTTGAGCAGCAAATCAGCATATTATACTGATTTCTGAAGATCATGTGACACTGAAGACTGGAGTAATGATGCTGAAAATTCAGCTGCACATCACAGAAATACATTACAGTTTAACAGATATTCACATAGACAACAGCTGCTTTAAATTCTAATATTATTTCACAATTTTTACTGTATTTTTGATCATATAAATGCAGCCTTGGTGAACATAAGAGACAAAACATTATTATTATTATTATTCCACATTTCTGAATGTAGTGTGCATGAATTTTAGTATGATTCTTTGGCTTGTGTAGCTGTAGTTTGACTATTTATAATATAAATAGTATTTTGGCCATTAAAAGAGTCTTAAATGCCAGTGAAGCTTAGATATAAACACCTCATTGTTCTACTTCAGCGTTTTTTCTAGACGTCTTGGCTGGTGCCTGCTGGATTTTTACATGAGAAAAGACGAGAAGAAAAGAAAAGTTGCGGCAGTTGATTCGAGGAATGAGTGTGAGCTGATGGTCATGTGATCTGTGAGGTGTGTGTGTGTGTGTGTGTGTGTGTGTTAATGAGGGTCATTCAGTCCAAGCCTCGTGTGTGTGTGTGTGTGAGCTTTAGTGGGGAAGAAACTCATTGTGTTTTTGAGATTCTTAATGCAGTTTTGCTGAAAGGTTAGAAAGTTAAATGTGCTTCAGATGCAGTGACCGTCTGTTCATTAACACTGATGTAGACCAATAATAGACCGATTATGAGCCCATAACTGTGCCTGATTAACAGAAAGTTAGTGTATATCTGCATTATATCAGTCAGAATCTCTCTTGATCTCAGTATCAGCCACACGAGCGGCTCCGTTACATGCTGATGAATCAGAGCGTTCAGTAACACTGATTCATTCACACTGAGGCATTATGGGTCATTCTGTATTTAATTCACTGTTGCACTTTAATTCCCTTAATTCAGAAACAAACATGATAGGTTTACACTTATTACACGAGAGTAAAAGATTGTATTATGTGTTTTGAAATTGTCAAGTATGTTAAGTAATAGATGTAATTAATATAAATGTATTTATATATAATTTAATGCATTTATATTTATCTTTCATGTTTTTATTAGTAGTAGTAGTATTATAAATACATTAAATATATATCTAATATATTTATATATATATATAATATATATTTAATCTAACACTTGACCCTTTTAATGATAATAATAAATGAAATGCATTAAATTATATATAAATATATTATAACATCTATGAAATATTTAATTGAAACAATAATATATAATAGCTATATATATATATATATGCTGTACACATATATATATGTGTGTGTGTGTGTGTGTGTGTGTAAAGTTATTATAAAGTGTTAAATAGTCGAGTCACAGTTACTAAAGCTGTCTTGTATCAGTTATGTTTTCTAAGAATTGTCCCTATTCCTATAAGTGAATAACGGCTGCTAACACCATTAGGTTAGTAAACTGTCAGTGCTTAACCGTCTTCAGTTAGAGTTCCTGATATATATGTGTGTGTGTGTGTGTGTGTGTGTGTGTGTGTGTAAAGTTATTATAAAGTGTTAAATAGTTGAGTCACAGTTACTAAAGCTGTCTTGTATCAGTTATGTTTTCTAAGAATTGTCCCTATTCCTATAAGTGAATAACGGCTGCTAACACCATTAGGTTAGTAAACTGTCAGTGCTTAACCGTCTTCAGTTAGAGTTCCTGTTGAAGTGAGGAGATAAGCATTTTAACTGGTTCCTCTTCAGAAGAGCAGCGATCACATGATCCGATCCTCCTCCATCCTCAGTCGAAACAAAATCATGTTTAAGTCGGCGACACTGACTCCTCTGAGGAACAACTCGTCTTCATCGAGTCTCTTTCTATCTGAACGGCTGGCTGTCGGTCAGAATGAGTTGCAGAGTGACCGTCGGACATCTGGCTCTGATGATAGTGCTGAGTCCCTTAAAGCTGTGCTGTTTGTGATCTCTCTCCTCCTCCATGATCGATGTCTCAAACACACCTCAAAGGTCCAGTCAGCCCAAACGCGGTGGCCGGCGCTAGAGGTTATCTGGGAGAAGCATTTAACCCAGTGTGGATTCAGATGCTTATTGAATAGTCTTTCATGCTCTCGTAATACTCCTACATGTTTCTGCTGCTGGCTGAACTTCTAATGACCCGACTGAGCCAGAACAAATGAATTTTATCAGCATTTGGGGAATTTAGAAATGTTACATTTGAGCGGGCAACAATGTAGCGCTGTAGGTCAGTGTTGGGGAAAGTTATTTTTAAAAGTAATGCATTACAATATTGTGTTACTCCATAAAAAAAGTAACTAATTACGTTACTTAGTTACTTTTTATGGAAAGTACACTCTTAAAAATAAAGGTGCTTCAAAAGGTTCTTCAAGCGATGCCATAGAAGAACCATTTTTGGTTCCTCAAAGAACCATTCTGTCAAAGGTTCTTAAAAGAATCATCTCTTTCTTACCTTTTTATAATCTGAAGAACCTTCTTTCACCACAATGTTGTGTTCTGTGTGTTCAGGAGATCACACTGACGGAAGACAGTAAAATTTTCGCCACGTGGAAGAATCCACCGCCTCCGGTCTACATGGAGTTCTTCATCTTCAACGTCACAAACCCCGACAAGTTCCTGAAAGGAGAAGCCAAACCTCATCTTACTACAATGGGGCCGTACACCTACAGGTACATCACATGAACACACAGACTGCTGGGATCAGACGGCTCGGTTTTCATGAATTCGTGAAATCAGTTTTTGTCCTAACCAGCCATAACAAGCAACAGGGCGGTTGGTCACTGGTCCAAAATCCCTCTCCACAGACTTGCATAACATGTGATATGTCATGTTATGTTGTTCTGTTTTATGTTATTAAACAACATTATGTAAATAAATAACATTATGTTTTGCTATGCTATGTTTTTTAATAACATAATATAACATAACTAAACAAAACATAACAGTATCACGTAAAGCATAACATGTTGTTTTGTTTTGTTATGTTAAGTATTTATGTTATAAGACAACATATTAAAAGATGACAAACTTAACATTGTTATGTTATGTTTTTTGTAATAAAACATAATATAACATAACTAAACAAAACATATCAGCATCACATAAAACATAACATGTTATTAAGTTTTTATGTTAAAAACAACATAACAAAACATAACAAATATTACATTGTTTTGCTATGTTATGTTTTTGGTTATAAAACAACATAAATATAACTTAAAGCATGATATAACAACATAATAGCATCACGTAAAAACAACATAAAACATAACAAAATATAACAAAACAACATAGCATCATAACATATAACTTAACATGTTATGTTTTGTTATAAAACATAACATAACAAAATAATGACAGAAACAACACAACATCAAAACGACATACATCTTAACATGTTATGTTTTACTGCTTTGCTTTGTTTTTCTTATAAAGCATAACTTAGCAAAACAAAATGTAAACATATAATACTGTAATATAACAGCGAGCTGTAACATGTTATGTTTTGTTTAATGTTATATTTTGTTATGTTATAAAACAACATAAGAAAACATAACAAACGGGACATTATTTTGCTATGTTATGTTTTTTTATAAAACAACATAACACAAACCTGATATAACAACATAGCGTCATCACGTTAAACATGTTATTTTTTGCTATAGAACAACATAAAACATACTATTAAAAATAATAAAACAAAACAAAGAATACAGTAACATAACAACATAAAACAACACAAACATAATATAAAAAATAGTGTCATGTTTTGCTAAGTCATGTTGTTTTTTATGTTTTGTTATGTGCTTTCATGCTATGCTTTGTTTAATTTAATTGATGCATTTAGCAGACACTTTTATCCAAAGCGACTTACAGTGCATTCAAGCTATACATTTTATACCAGTATGTGCGTTCCCTGGGAATCAAACCCACGACCTTTTGCGCCGCTATCGCAATGCTCTACCACTTGTCTAATGTAGGCCTACATTAAGTGCAATTAAAAGATCAAATTCGATATATAGTTATTATTTGATGTACTACAAGGCAAGCAGATGGCCGTGAACACAATGCGCAAACTTTCACTTATCCTCCCATACAGCAAAACGTTTAATGTGGCATAATAACGGACTAAGATTATAAAGACAATTCAGTAGCCTATATCTTGTTGTTGACTCAAAGTATATACAGACCAACAAATATGAATGTGCATTATGAAATGCATTAAGTGATATTAAAAGCATCTTCTCCCTAGTACAGGCAAGCAGACGAGCCCAGAATGCAATGCGTTAACGTTATACATTTTCCTCCCATAGAAAATCATTATAAATAAAACATGTAGGCTAATGTAGCTTAATGGACAAAGACAATGATATAAAAGAGCTGTAGACAGTTTATTCTATATGGGAAAATGCTTAACGTGAAACTTTGCGTGTTGAATTTATTCTGGGCTCACCTGCTTGCCTGTATATTAGTTATGTATATTTTAATAATGAAGAGGAGCATATTGAGTTTGGTCTTTATCATCTTATTCCTTTATGCTACATTATGGCACGTTTTGCGGTGTGGGAGGAAAATACTAGGCTATACATATTCATTATATTTATAAACTGTATATTGCATTTGATACTTTAACAGCATCTTAATACATTAAGCCATATTAAGTGTTTATGTTTTTCTATGGGTGGAACATGCTTGATGAGAGACGAGAGACGCATTGCGTTCATATTCTGCTGTTCTTTGGCCATGGATTTGCAGGTCTTGTCTTTTTCTTCTACAGATGACTTGCAGGGCCCTGTACGCTATGGTACTAAATTAGCTGTAATCGTTTAAGCAGCACCAGAGCGTCTTGTCTTCATTGGCATCACGCACGATTTGTGTCGACTGCAAGTGACGTCGCAGGTACAGCGGAGAGTGCAAGTGGTGATTGCAAGTGGCTTTGCAATTTAGTTTTTTGGCTACTGTTGTAAAATGTTGAGAGATTCAAACTAAAAATAATAAATAAATATAACAACAACAAAAAAAAAGACTGCAAGTGACGTCGCTAGCGGAAGCGCATGTGTCTGAGAGTGCAAGTGCAAGTCTGCAGTCAGACCCTCTTGGTTCGTGTTCTTGCAGGCGTATGTTGCAGGCCTCGGTCTTCAGGTGTTGTGTCTGGTTTGCTTTGGTCCATGTGACAGAAGCAGAAGGAGATCAGAGGCACGAGACTGTGCTTGGCTTCTGCTGCAGACGAGAGTGACACAGTGCTGATGCTCAGAGATTTGAGTCCGGTGCGAATCTCAGCACAAATCCGAGACGCTGCGTTCAGTCTTAAGATGCTTATTCCTGTGTGATCCATTCACAACAGACCGCTTTACTGAGTCATCTGCTGGCGAAGGGATATTCAGGCCAGCCAGCCGCTCACGGCTCCTCGTCTCACTCCTATTCCAGCCTTTTATTGATCTCTAATTAAAGAGAGTAAAGCTAACAAAAGCTCATTGTGTTACCAGTAGTTATGTTGTAAAACATGACTCTATCTGCATTATGTAACTGTTTAATCAATCCCATCATGCATCTAAACATGTATTATTATAATATATATCAGAACCCACTTACAAATTATTTATATTTGTCAAATATAACATAGCATAACTTAGCAAAAAAATGTTTTCATCTTTTGTTGTTATGTTGTTTTCATCTTGTTACATCAAATATAAAAAATGAAACAAAACATAACATAACAAAAGATAAAGCAACATAAAGTCTTGCCTATTAGGTTTTTGTTATAAAACATAACAAAACAGTATCAGATAAAACAACATGTTATGTTTTTTGTTTGTTATGTTAAACATGATATAACAAAAAAACCTAATAACAAAACGAAACAACATAACGTTATGGTTTGCTATGTTATGTTTTGTTATATAAAAATAATGTAACAAAACAAAGCATACAGTAGCATAACTTAGCAAAGTAGAACAAATTGTAATAAATTTAACAAACATAAAACATACATAACATGCTTACACACATATATTTGTGTTTAATGTGTTTATACAAAAAAAGTAAATTATCAATTTTATAAATTTATAATTCCAAAAAATTAGCAATTATATTTTAATTTACTATATTATTATTGAATTATATTTATATTTAAATTTGATTTATATTTGTGTGTGTGTGTGTGTGTGTGTATCAAGGTTATTATAGTTTTGCATTTTTAAATTTGTTTTATTTTAATATCGTTTTCAAATTTGCAATACAATTTAGTTTGTTAGTTTTATTTTGTGAACATTTCTATGTAGTTTAGTTTCAGTTTTAGTTTTAGTTTTAGTAATTAAAGTTTATTAGATTTAACAGATCACTTCCAGAGCACAGGCCAAAGAAAGACTAATTTAACCTTAGCGATGCAAACGTCTAGCACAAAATGAAAGCATGCTGAGTTTGATTATATGGTAAAATACATATACACACCAAAATGAAGCAGTCATGCCTTTTTAAATCTACACAAGTTGCGCTTACATTATATGTAAAACGCACTAGACTGAATGATAAATGTGTGTTGTGAGATTTAATTTGAAAATAAATGTAGCTAATTTCTTTATATTATAGCCTATGTCTTTCATCTTATTTAACCATAATCATGATACCGTAACTGTCGTGTCTTGCTCACTTTCCCTCGAACAAATGCGCATAAATAAGTGTGACTAATGAAATTCAATAATAATGGCGGAGCCTCAACATTGGATTTGCAGCGTTGTACATTCTAGCCATTGGCGCTGCAGCTGAAGTGAATGACAGCTTGGGAGCACGTGTTGCTCGCTTTCTGTAGCCTACACTCTTAAAAATAAAGGTGCTTCAAAAGGTTCTTCAAGCGATGCCATAGAAGAACCATTTTTGGTTCCACAAAGAAGCATTCAGTCAAAGGTTCTTTAAAGAACCATCTCTTTCTTACCTTTTTATAATCTGAAGAACCTTTTTTCACCACAAAGAAGCTTTTGTGAAACAGAAAGGTTCTTCAGATGTTAAAGGTTCTTTATAGAACCATTTAGACAAAAAAGGTTATTCTATGGCATCGTGAAGCACCTTTATTTTTAAGAGTGTACATCATTTCATTTTTAAGATGTATTTTTAATGCTTCTGTAAAGGACCAACGGCCACATAGCCTATACACTGCAGAGTTTAAGGAGAGACACAATGGCACAATATGTTTTGTTTTCATTTATGTAGAATTAAGTGTGTAGTTTATGCACATTTGTTCAAAACAGTCTGGCAAATTGTTCACAAGATGTAGACACAAATGTTTTTATTGTTTACAGGAAGGATGCGCGTTCTTATCATTCCTCTGTTGCGCTGCTTGTCTATTTTTTCTTCAAAGCACCAACTTAAAATGCCTATTTTGGTTTGATTGCTTGTGCTATATGAAAAAAAGCAGTAGCCTATGTAATGCGGGTGTGGTTCAGGGCGCGGTCTTTATCTCAAACGGGTCGGGTGCAGAATTAAATTAGTGCTGCTGTCGGATAAGGGGTCGGGTGTTCTGCTGTGTACTGCGGATGCACGTTTACCTAACAGATTTTTAGATTTTGTTTAATTTTATTTCAGTTTACGAAAATGTTTTTTGACCAATCGTTTTCGTCTTAGTTTTCGTTTACGAAAATAACCTTGCATGCCTTTTTAAATCTACACAAGTTGCGCTTACATTATATGTAAAACGCACTAGACTGAATGATAAATGTGTGTTGTGAGATTTAATTTGAAAATAAATGTAGCTAATTTCTTTATATTATAGCCTATGTCTTTCATCTTATTTAACCATAATCATGATACCGTAACTGTCGTGTCTTGCTCACTTTCCCTCGAACAAATGCGCATAAATAAGTGTGACTAATGAAATTCAATAATAATGGCGGAGCCTCAACATTGGATTTGCAGCGTTGTACATTCTAGCCATTGGCGCTGCAGCTGAAGTGAATGACAGCTTGGGAGCACGTGTTGCTCGCTTTCTGTAGCCTACACTCTTAAAAATAAAGGTGCTTCAAAAGGTTCTTCAAGCGATGCCATAGAAGAACCATTTTTGGTTCCACAAAGAAGCATTCAGTCAAAGGTTCTTTAAAGAACCATCTCTTTCTTACCTTTTTATAATCTGAAGAACCTTTTTTCACCACAAAGAAGCTTTTGTGAAACAGAAAGGTTCTTCAGATGTTAAAGGTTCTTTATAGAACCATTTAGACAAAAAAGGTTATTCTATGGCATCGTGAAGCACCTTTATTTTTAAGAGTGTACATCATTTCATTTTTAAGATGTATTTTTAATGCTTCTGTAAAGGACCAACGGCCACATAGCCTATACACTGCAGAGTTTAAGGAGAGACACAATGGCACAATATGTTTTGTTTTCATTTATGTAGAATTAAGTGTGTAGTTTATGCACATTTGTTCAAAACAGTCTGGCAAATTGTTCACAAGATGTAGACACAAATGTTTTTATTGTTTACAGGAAGGATGCGCGTTCTTATCATTCCTCTGTTGCGCTGCTTGTCTATTTTTTCTTCAAAGCACCAACTTAAAATGCCTATTTTGGTTTGATTGCTTGTGCTATATGAAAAAAAGCAGTAGCCTATGTAATGCGGGTGTGGTTCAGGGCGCGGTCTTTATCTCAAACGGGTCGGGTGCAGAATTAAATTAGTGCTGCTGTCGGATAAGGGGTCGGGTGTTCTGCTGTGTACTGCGGATGCACGTTTACCTAACAGATTTTTAGATTTTGTTTAATTTTATTTCAGTTTACGAAAATGTTTTTTGACCAATCGTTTTCGTCTTAGTTTTCGTTTACGAAAATAACCTTGGTGTGTGTATATATATATATATATATATAATCCTATTTTTAATATATTAATCTTAATATATTGATTCTTTTTTTTTAATTTATCTTAAAATATAAAATAAACAGTTCCTATTGAAAAAGATAAATGTAACATTTGCTGGTAACTGACACCCAAGTTTACTTCAGTTAGCTCTGCTAATTTGCAGACGCTGATCATCTTTACTGAAGAATTATGTGTGTATTATGAAATACAGTTGCAGCTGAAGGTGTTTTGATGCTGTTATGTTTTATCAGCGTGTTTACAGTCATGCTCTCCTCAGGTCTGCAGGATCGTTCATGTCACACCCTAAACAGATATCAGTGTCTGTGCTGTTAACACTCTCTAACCTGTATTCCTCTGCATGGTTAGTTTGCATTGAACTTGAGGGTAATTCAGAGCAAATAACAAACACTTCAACAGGAATCAATACGCTCTTGAAACATCTGATGTTTAACAGTAGAGAGTGGAACATAAATCATTTTCATGCAAATATGAAGTATTATGCACCACATCATGTACTTGTACATCATTTTTTCTGCCCTACAATTATAATTTGCATTATACAGCCATTTGTGCATAATTTTTCACTTTGCACCACCATCGTTTTCATTTGCTCTGTACTCAAACTCACACAATGCTAAAGAAAGTAAATCTAATGCAGTATAATAGTATTATTTACACTTGACTAAATTGCCTTTTGGTTGGTCTAAATTACAATTCTAATACATACATACGTATATATAAAATATATGTAAATATATTTTATATTACAATTATAAAAATAATACATGAACACATTTTATAAATATATATATATATAAAACTATGTTTAAATAGTTTCACAATACAATACAATACAATATAATATAATATAATATAATAGAATATAATATATGTATGTATGTATAGGTCATTTCTAAATTGCATTTTATTTGGTTTAAATTGTAATTTTCAAATATATTAATAAATTATAAATATATATAATATATTTTAAAATTGTATTTAAATATTTAATATAATATTTATAAATATATTTAGAATTGTTTATATAAATAAATTATATATATATATATAATTTATTTATATAAACAATTCTATATTGTATATAATATTGATTTATATATAATATATAAACTTATAGAACGTTTTGGTTGGCTTATATTATAATTATAAAATATATATATATATATATCAATTTTTACACTTGATGCATATTTTATCATTTTAAAATGTTTAAATATAATATAATATATACACTTATAAATAATTTTATAATATATCTTATAATCATCATTAGCATTATCTGGCCATTTGTGCCTCATTTCCACTTTGCACTACCATCATTTTTATTTCTATGCTGTTTTATTGGTTTCATGCTCATTTAATTGGCTCCGCAGTCAGGATCGCACAATGCCAATAAAAGTCAATATAATTATGTTATTTCCACTCAACTAAACTGAGTTTTGGTCTTCTTCTGTAACTCTAACCCGTTCCAGAGAGTACAGGCCCAAACACAACGTGTCATTTGTGTACAACGGGACGAAGGTTGCCGCTTACACAGCCAAGATTTTCGTCTTTGAGCCTGAGAAATCAGTTGGAGACCCGAACGTGGATCTGGTGACGACGGTGAACATCCCAGCGGTGGTGAGTGTGTGTGTGTGTGTGTGTGTGTGTTTTATTTTCCAGTTGATCTGAGTCTCAGGTTCTGGTTTCCTCAAACAGGCCGTGATGAATCGAATCAAAGGTGCAGGATTCTGGGTCTCCTCGGGAATCTCCATGTACATGGGCTCCATCGGCACCACTATGTTCATGACACACACGGTGCAGGAGCTGCTCTGGGGCTTCAAGGACCCGCTACTCAGCCGACTGAAGACTATAAAGCCAGATACAGACGAATACTTCGGTCTCATGCTGCATGTGAGTCTCAGATCAGACGCTTATCTGTGGATCCTTCTGCAGTAACATATTACACACACACACACACACACACACACACTAATGGAAAAAACATCTGTTCAAGCCATTCCACGGGAACATCCTGAAATTCATCCTGAGTACATGCTGAATCCACTACTGCTTATAATAATTATGAATATTTAATATTAATATTTTTTGAATTTATATTCGATTATAAAATATACATTCCATATCAATTACATTTTTTATTTTTTTTAAATAACTGATAATATAATATAATTTTAGTATTATTTATATGCAATATATATATATTTTTTAGTTTAAAAACTTCAACTTGTAACATTAGTTTTATGTGCTTTCTTCATTTTTGTTAGTTTTTGTTCTTTTTAAAAGAAAAATAAAGAAAAATATTTGAAATAAATGAAGTAAGTTTAAGTTAAAGCACTAAAATGACTAACTGGAAATAAAAAATAAAATAAAAAAAGATCTCAAATGAAAACTGAAAAAAAAGAATTTATTTTAAATAGTAATATTTAATGTTTATAATTTATTTTATTTCAGCTTAATTTCAGTTTACAAATATGTGACCCTGGACCACAAAATTTTGTGAAATTGAGATTTATGCATCATGTGTAAACTGAATAAATAATCTTTCCATTGATGTATGGTTTGTTAGGATAGGACAATATTTGGTCGAGATACAACTATTAGAAAATCTGGAATCTGAGGGTGCAAAAAAATCGAAATATTGAGAAAATCATCTTTAAAGTTGTCCAAATGAAGTTCTTAGCAATGCATATTACGAATCAAAAATTAAGTTTTGATATATTTACGGTAGGAAATTTACAAAATATCTTCATGGAACATGATCTCTACTTAATATCCTAATGATTTTTGGCATAAAAGAGAAATGTATAATTTTGACCCATACAATGTATTGTTGGCTATTGCTACAAATATCCCCCAGCGACTTAACACTGCTTTTGTGCTGCAGGGTCACATATTATATTTTTTTTAGTTTTAGTGCACAATAATAACGCTGGTGTGGATCATTCCAGAAGTTCTAGTTTCCATTAATAAATCTCATTTAGACACAATCAGTCCTTTGAGCTTCCAGATTTGAATGTTAAAAAAGTCCTTCTATATACATGTGCATTATTTTAACTTAGTTATTTTTCCTAAAAGCAGTTTAGAACGACACACACTATAATACAACACCAGTTGCTTATTTATGGAATATTTCTACCAGAAGTATTATTATCGTTATAGACTTATTTTCATACAGTAATGACAATGTTTTAGGTCAAATGTCTTTGTTAAGGTGAGTTTGGCTGTTTTTAGATGATTTTGGATTGTTGGTGGACGAACGCAGCTCTACATATTCAGTCTGAAGTCCTCTTTTAAAAGCACTGTATGTGGAAATGCAGAAGATCTTGATTCATCGGCTCAATCTCTGCTGAAATCCGCATGAAATTGGACCAAAGGTCCGAACTTCCCAAATCCATGCCCGACATCAGCGTTTGCACTCTGTGTGGAAACAGAACTTTCCTCTAATTATCTGTAATATGATTACAGAAATAAACTGGGGTGATGGGATTTTACAATATGCATGCAGTTTTAAAGAAGATAATAAATTGCTGTAGAGCTCACAGCTGGATACTTCACACAGCTGGGAATCAAAGAGTTTTTCTTTTTTATTACTTTATGTTTAACTTTTTTAAATTAATACTTTCATAAATACTCAATGTATTATCAAAAATGTATTATTTAAATACAATTTCACATTCATTTTTAGTTTATTTGAAGTAAGCGGTTCAGTTTTAATTTCCCCCTCTGTATGTTAAAGTTTTTTGCTACCCGTTCCTTTACTTAAAAAAAATCTTTTCATAGAATGTATTGACTTGATGCAACTTTATATAATGCTTTATTTAAAATGTTATATAGTCTATTATCAATTATTTGTATCATTTATTTGTTTATTTATTATTTAATATTTAAATTTCCCATTTATGTTTTTGTTGTTTTTTAAGGTACTTGTAACTTTTTTTAATAAATCTGTAAATATATACATATATATATATATATTATTATTATTATTTTTTTTTTTTAAAGCAATGCAGTTCAGTTTTTAATTTCCACTCTGTATGTTAGAGGGTTTGTGTTACTTTGACTTATTATTTGCCTTTTATAAACTTTTTAAACAATTTTACAAAATTTACATTATATTTAATTGTATATAATCTATTATCAGTTACTTGTACTGTTTGTTTATTTTATGTGTATTTATTTAACATTTCAGATTTATTTTTAATTTATTAAGAGTAATATGGTTCAGTGTTTAATTTCTGTATGTTTGGTTTTTGTAATATTTTTGTCATATTTTCTACAATGCATTTTCAATTATTTATTTAACATTTCAAATGTATTTTGGGAATTCTGCTTCGTTTTCCTCTCTGTGCGTGTCAGCTGATGATGTATGGCGAGTGATGCACACCGTTATTTTTATACTCTATATAATATATGTTCTTGTTGCGCTTTGACCTTTCACCTGAAGTCCAGTTGAACCATCCGTGTCACTCTGGGCTCTATTTTCAGTGGGAACTCTGCCCTAAACCACCCGTCTTTGTTCAGTGCGGAAAGAATCCCATGTGTTCTGGCATGAGCGGGCGTCACACATGGTTTCGCGAGGACAGACTCCAACTTGGAATGTTTTCAAACCACTTTCAACCTAGTTGAACATGAGCGGCGGACCCTTGGGTTATTGTGCCTGCGGAAACAGCTGTCCTTGTCCTTTTCCATTGACTCCTCACCCAGATTTTGAAGGGAAAGGCGGCTGCAAGAACGGCTTGTGTAACCTTTGTACACGGTTTAATCAGGCTGGGTCAGTCTGGAAAACTAATTTCCCCTGATATTACTGAACACTTTTCCTGTAACTGAAAAGCAGGTTTCTGAATGCTTCCTTAATAGTGAACACGTTATAGCAAATACAAGCTCACTTGAGCATCCTGGGGTCAAAGGTCATGTTCAGGGTCACATTTGCCAGGTTAATCAGAATCTGTTGTGCAGCATGTGTGTTGAAGATGTAGTCATCTGAGCACAAGACGATATTTGATGGATCTTCTGCAGGTCCATCCACATGCGCTTTGAGAAGGAGGTGGAGCTGAAGGGCATCCCAGCGTACCGCTTCACCCCACCCCGGGACGTGCTGGCCAGCGGGGAGAACAACCCGGAAAACAAGGGATTCTGTCTGACGCCAAAGAAATGCCTGGACGACGGCGTGCTGGATGTGTCTGTGTGTCGGAAAGGTGCAGAACTGCAGACATACAAACATAATACATGCACGAACACACACAACTTGCATATATATTATTGAATTAAAATGAAAGATTAAAGCAGTTTCATTTAATATAATGTTTAAATTAATTTAATTCTAATTTCATTTAATTTTATACTTTAATTATTGCTTATTGTATTTTTTATGCAGTTGCTATGGAGTCAATAGGGTGTTTTGAGTGTTTTAAGCTGTTTCAGTGCAGTTGCTAGGGTGTTTTGAGTGTTTAAGGGTGTTGATATAGAGTTGCTAGGGTGTTTTGAGTAATTTAGGCAGTTGCTATGGAATTGCTGTGGTTATTTTAGTATTTTAGGCCGTTGCTAGGGCGTTCTGAGAGTTTTAGGCTGTTGATGTGGAGTTGCTAGGGTGTTCTGAGAGTTTTAAGCTGTTGCTATGCAGTTGCTAGTGTGTTCTTAGTGTTTTATTGTGTTGCTATGCAGTTGCTAGCGTGTTCTGAGTGTTTTAGGGTGTTGCTATGAAGTTGCTAGGGTGTTATGAGTATTTTAGGCTGTTGCTGTGGAGTTGCTAGGGCGTTCTGAGTGTTTTAGGGTGTTGCTATGAAGTTGCTAGGGTGTTATGAGTATTTTAGGCTGTTGCTGTGGAGTTGCTAGGGCGTTCTGAGTGTTTTAGGGTGTTGCTATGAAGTTGCTAGGGTGTTATGAGTATTTTAGGCTGTTGCTGTGGAGTTGCTAGGGCGTTCTGAGTGTTTTAGGGTGTTGCTATGGAGTTGCTAGGGTGTTGAGCATTTTAGGCAGTTGCTATGAAGTTACTAGGGTGTTTTGAGTGTTTTAGACTGTTGCTATGCAGTTGCAGGTGTGTCCTGAGTATTTTAGGCTGTTGTTATGCAGTTGTTAGGGTGTTCTGAGAGTTTTAAGGAGTTGCTATGTAGTTGCTAGAGTGATGAGCATTTAGGCAGTTGCTAGGGTGTTTTGAGTGTTTTAGGCAGTTGCTATGGAGTTACCAGGGTGTTTTGAGTGTTTTAGGCTGTTGCTACAAAGTTGCTAGAGTGTTTTTAGTATTTTAGGCTGTTGTTATGCAGTTGTTAGGGTGTTCTGTGCTTTAATTATTGCTCACTGTCTTGTGTGCTTGAGAAGTAATGTGAGCTTCTGTTCGGCACATGTGATTTACTGGCGTTTGTTAACCACACACACACGCTTAACCTAGTCACTCCAGCACATTCCTCATCTCCTCCTGCTGTGTGTTTTTATGCTAAACACATGCCACATTTATGACCACAGAGATCTGATGGTGTTCCAATAGTCACTAAAAACACACTCATACATGTATCTGACTGTGAAAAACGAGGACCTACCAGAGACTGTTATTTTTTTGTATAAACTCATCAGAACTAAAGTTTTAATGAAGTGCTGTTTGCATGTGCAGAATTTGCCATACTGTTGCTATACAGTTTTTTTTTTTTTTTAAATAGTTGCTATGCAATTTCTAGGGCGTTCCATGTATTTTGGTCTGTTGCTATGCAGTTGCTAGGGTGTTCCACATGTTTTAGTCTGTTGCTATGCAGTTGTTAGGGTGTTTGATTGTTTTTAGCCTGTTGCTATGCAAATTCTAGGGTGTTTGGATAGTTTTGGGCAGTTGCTATGCAGTTGCTAGGGTGTTTGAGTGTTTTTTTTTGCCTGTTGTTATGCAATTTCTAGGGAGTTCCACAAGTTTTAGTCTGTTGCTATGCAGTTGCTAGGGTGTTCTGGGTGTTTTTAGGTTGTGGTCATGCTTTCCACTGCGTTTGAATGTTTTATAGGCTGTTTCTATGCAGCTACTAGGGTGTTCTGAGAGTTTTGGGCAGTTGCTAGGGTTTTCAGTGTTTTTAGCCTGTTGCTGTGCAGTTGCTAGGGTGTTATGAGTGTTTTAGTCTGTTGCTATGCAGTTTCTAGGAAGTTTTAAGCTGTTGCAAATGAGTGTTTCTGAGTGTTTTAGTCTATTTTCTAGGCACTTTCTGCCTGTCTACTGTGAAAGTACTTCTTTGAAACTTTTTCTTTCAGATCTAAATGAATTCTGGGTATTATTTTGATCCATAAAGTGAAACATACACACAAAATAGCTGCTGACCTTCCTCTCAGCTCTGTGTTTGAGTTTTATGGTTTTCTGTCACGCTGTGCTCATGTGAGCTTCAACACACAACTACAACATTGCCAAAGCATTTGAGCGCTTGCATATTACAGATGTATGAAATAACCCACATACACACACACACACACACACACACTCAAGAGTGTGTGTTGCCAAACATGAGGGCTGGAAAACTCTCACCTCTGTCCCAGTAACACAGGAGTCTAATTTCTCCTGGTGTGTTGGAGGATCAGGGTTACTCGCGGCTACTCCTGATTGTTTTCATGCTCAAGGTCAGAGTTTCCTTCATCTTCTCATGAGACGAAGTGCCTCTTTAATGTCACGACAGGATGAAACTCCTCGTCTCTCAGGGGGGTCGTTTCAGAGAAGGCATTGTTAAGACAGTGTGAGGAGGAGACGTCATTTCTGCTGTTATATGACTGAAAACATTCACAATGACTGTTGTTCTGAGTTTGGAGGACATCCCTTTATCTGACAAGGTCACTGACTTGTGAATGGAAGATGTGTATGTAATCTTTTCAAACAGGGTTTACTCATTGCTTTGCTTAAGTCACTGAGTGAGTTATTATAATTATAATTATAATCCTGGCAATGAAAAGCTTGTTTTGTATTTTGAAGAAGTCAAGCAGGAGGTCATCTGGGTGATTAATCATACAGCACGCGGCAGAAATAGTGCGTGCAATATGTTGTTCTGAAGATATCCACTCATGTTTAAATGTTTAAGCTTGTAATTCTGTAGTGCATGAAACTAAGCTCAATATTTCACTGAAAATAGATTTTATTTATTTATTTTTTGTTTATTTAATAGGAACAATGCATGTTCATGAACATCAATTACAATATGTAAACATCAGATTTATATATATATATATATATATATATATCTTTATATTTATATACATTTTTTTGGAATAATTCGTTTTTTGTTTTTGAAAGAAGTCTCTTCTGCTCATCAATATGCAGTACAAAAAAAACAGTAAAAACAGTAATATTGTGAAGTATTATTAAAATATCTGTTTTCTATACAAATATATGTTCAAATTATATTTATTCTTGTGATGCAAGTTAATTTAATCCTTTAATAAAATGTGTTTTCATTTAATTATTAATTTAATGTAATCATCATTTTATACATTATTTAACTAATACTTGTTTAAAATAATAATAATAATAATGTTAAAGTAATTTTTACTGTGATGTACAGTACTGTACTGAAAATCGAAAGTCGTGAAAATAATGTCACAATGGGAAAAAAATCTTAATGGTAATACAAAAACATTTAATTTTCTTTATGCAGTATACAATTTCCTAGTAAATAAAAAAGCCTAAATAATTATGCATGAACTGGTCAAATGAAAGCCTTGATTGCAATGCAAGTCACTTTGGAGAAAAGCTTCAGAAATGCATCAGTGTCAATGGTTGTGTGGTGTAATTGTTGTTGTTGGGTGTCTCAGGTGCTCCTGTCGTCGTGTCGTTCCCTCACTTTCATCTGGGCGATGAGAAGTACGCCAAAGCTATCGATGGCATTTCTCCGGTGCACGAGCATCATCAGACCTTTCTGGATCTGAACCCTGTAAGATCTGCTGTGATATGATAAGATGCTTTGAAGTGTTTTGTGAAGTCTCATTCTCTAATGTATTTTTTCTTGTCTAAAGTGTTTTTGTGAAATAATTGGTTTGATTGCTGCAGTCTGGCTCAGATCTGACTTTTTTCCTCAGACTATGGGAGTGCCTGTTCGTGCCATGAAACGAGCCCAGATCAACATTCATCTCGAGAGAATGACCGGCTTTCCGTGAGTGATGCTTTCCTGTTTGATATTTTTAATCGGGCCGCGTTGATAAACAGCTGTGAGTGTGTGTTTTATAGCGGAAGGTCTTTGACGTTTTGTCCTTTGTTTCCTCAGTTTGACCAGGAATCTCAACAGCACTATCTTTCCCATTTTGTTTCTGAATGAGGTGAGCATCAGAGGTTCCCCCTGAACGGGATGATTTAGTGACCAACGGTTTCGTCTCCTGTGAAACTGAATGTTTTCTGATGTTTTTCAGTCTGTGGTGATTGACGACGCTTCAGCGGCGAGGATTCAGAAGCTGCTGCTGATCGTGACTCTGGTGTCTCATTTCCCGCTCATCCTCGTGGCTCTGGGAGTCATTCTGCTGCTCGTCTCCATCATCCTCGCCATTCACTTCTATCAGAACAAGGTAATCGCAAACACCCAGAACACCCTAGCAACCGCCTAGTAACACCCTAGCAACTTTGGTTTTCTCATTTCCCCAGAACACCATAGCAACTGCTTAGCAACCACCCAAAACACCCTAGCAACCGCCTAGTAACACCCTAGCAACTTTGGTTTTCTCATTTCCCCAGAACACCCTAGCAACTGCCTAGCAACCACCCAGAACACCCTAACAACCGCCTAGTAACACCCTATCAACTTTGGTTTTCTCATTTCCCCAGAACACCCTAGCAACTGCCTAGCAACCACCCAGAACACCCTAGCAACCGCCTAGTAACACCCTAGCAACTTTGGTTTTCTCATTTCCCCAGAACACCGTAGCAACTGCTTAGCAATCACCTAGAACACCCTAGCAACCGCCTAGTAACACCCTTGCAACTTTGGTTTTCTCATTTCCCCAGAACACCCTAGCAACTGCCTAAACACCCTAGCAACCATGTAGTAATATCCTTGCAATCACCCAGAACACCACGACAACCGCTCTGGTCTCATGGCAACACCCTGGTAACTGCTTTGCTGCAATCCCCAGGCAACCACCCAGAACACCCGAGCAACTACATGAGAACACCCCAACAACCACCCAGAACACCCTGGCAACTGCTATGCAGCAACTGCCTAGCAACCACCCAGACCACCCTAGCAACTGCCTAGTAACACCCTAGCAACTTTGGTTATCTCATTTCCCCAGAACACCCTAGCACCTAGCAACCACCCAGAACACCCTAGCAACTACCTAGCAACCACCCAGAACACCCTAGCAACCACCTAGTATCACCCTAGCAACTTTGGTTTTCTCATTTCCCCAGAACACCCTAGAAACTGCCTAGCAACCACCCAGAACACCCTAGCACCTAGCAACCACCCAGAACACCCTAGCAACCACCTAGTATCACCCTAGCAACTTTGGTTTTCTCATTTCCACAGAACACCCTAGCAACTGCCTGGCAACCACCCAGAACACCCTAGCAACTACCTAGCAACCACCCATAACACCATAGCACCTTTGGTTTTCTCATTTCCCCAGAACACCCTAGAAACTGCCTAGCAACCACCCAGAACACCCTAGCAACTGCCTAGCAACCACCCAGAACACCCTAGCAACTGCCTAGCAACCACCCAGAACACCCTAGCAACTGCCTAGCAACCACCCAGAACACCCTAGCAACTGCCTAGCAACCACCCAGAACACCCTAGCAACTGCCTAGCAACCACCCAGAACACCCTAGCAACTGCCTAGCAACCACCCAGAACACCCTAGCAACTGCCTAGCAACCACCCAGAACACCATAGCAACTTTGGTTTTCTAATTTCCCCAGATCACCCTAGCAACTGCCTAGCAACCACCCAGAACACCCTAGCAACTGCCTAGCAACCACCCAGAACACCCTAGCAACACTTTGGCTAAACCCCAGGACCCCATATCAAATGTTTAGCAATGCCTTTGCTCTCAAACAGACCACATAGCGATCTATCTGTCTGAAAGACTTCAAACCTTCAAACTACAAGCTTTTCAAACTACTTCAAACTGCCAGCTATTTAAACATAGCGCTTATCTTGAAGGTCATGAAGTGTGTGTGTGTGTGCGTGAGAATGTTCAGGCTTTCAGAAAAATCTCCATTATTCTCCAGTTTATTCTTCACTTTCCCACCAAAGTTGAACTGAAACCCAAAAATGTGACATTCACTGTCAGCACGGTTCACACGCACTAAAGCTGCCATCAAATCATTCCACGAATAGTTCAAAGTGTGTTCTGAGTGGGTTTGTTTAGGAAACTGAACGCTATTCTTCCACATCAGCCTTTATGAATCAATATTCTCATTCACACGCTTGCTGCTGTAGAGCAGAGAAATCTAAAGGACATGTGGAGTTTGAGAAAAATGTGTCTCTAAATGTTCTCTAAATATTCACAATGTAGCATTTAAAACGCATTTCACTGCATGCCATTCAAAAGTTCATGTTTAAATGCATGTTATTCAAAATGTTGCCTAAACTCAATTCCACTAGTCCTGCTTAACAAGGAACGTTCTCAGTGTGATTCTGTGGATCATTTTGTTCATTTCTCTCTTTTTTTTTAAATGCTACACCTTTTCCAACTCCGCAGATTCTGATGTTTTCTCATTTTATTAGTTGTATTTATTGTAAATGCTGGTTAATGTAAGCTGATCAGTTTTCTGAAATGGAAACTGGGGACATTGTTATGTTATTGCTTTTGAATTGTTGTGAATTCCATATACTATCATTGCAAATAATAATTTTCATGATGTTTTTAGGTCAAACTGAGCATAACTGGTTTTAATACAAGTCATCAAAAATCGCACTATTAATAATAGTAAATAATAATAACTGCAATTAGCAGATCAAAGATCAACAGCTCAAAATAGCATTAACAATATTATGACTTTACAAGCTCATTACAAATAGTAAAACAACAAATATAAGAACATATGATAAATAAAACTGTACTTGAATATTTTTATAATTTATTTTTTTGTATTTAATATTTTCATTTTCACTGCATGAAGTAATTTAAAGTTTTTTTTTTTTTTAATGAGGTTAATGCCGTTAGTATAGTTTATTTTAGTCTCAGATAAATAATACTCAGATGCCATACATGAGCCCTTCAGTAGCTTCTTCTCTGCTTTCAGTTAGTCACAGCGCGCTCTTTTTAACGTTGGTGTGACTGTGCTTTAAATGACGAGTATCCTGCATCTAGTGGAGTTGAGGTTTCATCCAAAGCCTGCTGTTCTTCTGCCTGTGGTTTATATAAATGAATCTGTCTCCTGACTGCTTCCTGTCATAACTCATGCTCTTTTCTGCCGCAGGCTGCTCTCATGATCAGTTCACTAACCTAGTAACCATTCTGTGCTTTTGTTTATTAACATGCTGGCTTGTATCTCACTCTAACCTGATGGACATTGTGTTGTGCTGATCTGGTTTTGTTTAGGCTGAAGTGAAGCGCCTTGATTTCGCTGAGGCTCTCCTGTAAGTTCAGCACTCTTTTCAGGCCTGTTTCACTCATGGGTTCAATTCGCAGGAAATGCATGAACTGATCAAATTCAAACCCTACCACACTGTGTGGACACTGTTTTATATGCAATTCATATATATAAATCTTCAATTTAGACCTTTTTTTTAGTGCAGGGGAGTGGCCTGTATTTTAGCCAATCAGAAACCCTGTCAGTCATTTTGCATGTTCAGATTTGCAGACCTTGGGCTGGTGGGCAGGAGTGCGTCTTAGTGGGCGGGGTTTGGCATAAAAGGCATATATGTGCGTGCGTGTATCTTTAAGTGAGTGGAATTTGACATAGAGGGCGTGTGTGTTGTTTAGTGGGCGGAGTTTGACACAGCGAGCGTGTGTGTCTTAGTTGGCGGGTTTGACATAAAGGTATGTGTGTTTGTCATATAGTGGGCGGGGTTTGGCATAAAAGGCATATATGTGCGTGCGTGTATCTTTAAGTGAGTGGAATTTGACATAGAGGGCGTGTGTGTTGTTTAGTGGGCGGAGTTTGACACAGCGAGCGTGTGTGTCTTAGTTGGCGGGTTTGACATAAAGGTATGTGTGTTTGTCATATAGTGGGCGGGGTTTGATGGTGAATGTTTGCATGTGTTGTTTAGTGGGCGTGGTTTAGCACAGAAGGCGTGTGTGTCTTAGTGGTTGGGGTTTGACAGTAAGCGTGTATGTGTGTGTTGTTTAGTGGGCGGGGTTTGACATGGTGAATGTGTGTGCGTCTTTTAGTGGGCGGGGTTTAGCACAGAAGGCGTGTGTGTCTTAGTGGGCGGGGTTTGACAGGGTGTGTCATTTAGTGGGTGGGGTTTAGCACAGAAGGTGTGTGTGTTAGTGGGCGGGGTTTGACAGAGTGAGTGTGTTGTTTAGTGGGCGGGGTTTGACGTGGTGAATGTGTGTGTGTGTGTGTTTAGTGGGTGGGGTTTAGCACAGAAGGCGTATGGGTATTAGTGGGCGGGGTTTGACTGAGTGAGTGTGTCGTTTAGTGGGTGTGGTTTAGCACAGAAGGTGTGTGTGTCTTAGTGGGCGGGGTTTGACGTGGTGAATGTGTGTGTGTGTGTGTGTGTGTGTGTGTGTGTTTAGTGGGCGTGGTTTAGCACAGAAGGCGTTTGTGTCTTAGTGGGCGGAGTCAGAGGGCGTGTGCGATTGTAGTCAGAAAAGCTCCTGAAATCACTTACAGCACTTTTAACAATCAGACACTGTGTTCAGAGTTTAGAAACTCTTAAAAGGCCAAACAAAAGCTACTTTATATTTGTGTTACCAAATGGTCCGTTCACACAAGACGTGTTCCTGCATTTAAACACTTGGACTGAGATCAATGGAAGAGAACAGAGAAAGTAGTTTTACCTTGACATGACAGACCGCAGCCAAACACACGGATCTGACACGCGTGTACACAGACAAACAATAACGCAGCCCGTCCTGTGTGAACGAGCCACATGTGACTGAACCTGCTGTGCCTTTCATTACAAACCCTTGTTTTGTTCATGTTGCGTGTTTTATTTCGGTGAACAGCTGACATCACTGTGCCTTGTTGTCATACGTGTAAAATACTAAAGTTGCTTTGGTATTTGTTGATTTGATGTTGTGGAATATGTAATCTAACGTCTGCAGTCATTTCAGTCGGACACACTTCTGTAAATGTGATCTTTGATCCTCAAACACTGAACGCAGACGATTGCCTGAATGATTTTAGATGAGAATTGTTCTGAAATGAAGATAATCTGCAAGTATTATTAGACAGCAGTATTGCAATTATAGCGTGCAGTTCTTTTAGTGTTACTGAACTAATATTTCAAGATGTTTTCTGAAATATGAACAAGTATTTTCAAAGGTTCAATCTGTATATTTTCTTTGTTTTGCAGACAGGATCACACGCTTGTTTTGACATGTTACTGTTTAATGTGTTTGTACTGGCTTTCCTTAAACTAGATGCTTCGGTGTAAACTCATAACATAATAACCTCTTATCATAACTCAAGGTATGTATTATCATATTGCACTAAAATACACAATATTAAATTTAATTCTGAAGCTGCACATTTAACGCACTGTGTTTTTTGAGATGGTCAAAATTGTTTTGATCTCTGAGCCATTTATTTGAGTTTTATGATTTCTTTATGTTGTTATATCGATGTGCCAAACATGAATTGAGTTCAAAAAATAAATATTGCACTTGATGAGTTTGATTTGCATGGATGTCATTGGAGAAAATCAATGTTTGAGTTCAAATGATAGTGTTTGAGACTGAATGTAACGTAGTTTAAATGCCTTTTGTGTCTTTTCAGCATTTCAGGTGTTAAATGATGCAGAATCTTGCCTTCATCAGTGTATAAACTATAAAACTCAGTGGCCTTCGATCTTTGAACACAGACTGTTTAATATTTTCTGCATCTGTCCAGCTCTTAGATTTCTATATTCAGACTGCACAAATAATTGTACAGTTTTGTATATAAATGAAGCCTTTTTCCTGTGGATTTATAAGAAAACACAATAAAAAGTCTCCCTGAAAGGCATATATTTGGTCATTTTTGTGTTGTATTTTTTAAATATTTGTATCATAATTATTTATAATAACTCCTCCTCAACTTCTGAAATAGTTTTATTGAGTAACCAAAATGCCAACTTATAGATGAACCTATTATATTCAAGTCAAAAATAATATTTAACATCACAGAATCAACCTAAACACATTCATTTATACCAAAAATCTATAAACCGGATAGTTCCAGTGCTTGATTCTGATTGGCTGAGCCGCGTTCCAAGCTGTTGTAAATTACTCTACAAACATACAGCTTTGTTTAAGTTGTGTGTTGCTTTATTTGCTCTGTTTTAATCTGTGAAACCTTACTATGTATATGGAATAACCGTTTTATAAAAGCAATAAGCCCCGTGAAGCCGTGGTTTACAGTGACTTTATAACAGCTAAGGGGCGTTGTTAGGCAGGTTTGTGGGTTAAATCATCTCTTTTAGGAAACAATTGCAGGTTACCACCTTTTACAGTTTACTTGAAACTATTGTTCAGTTTTATTTGACTGAAAATGGTGGTATAAACTAATTGACCCTTATTTGTAAGCTGTTTTGGATAAAAAGTAAATTAATAAATGTAAATATATGTAATGCAAATCTATCCCAGAGACCTACAAATAAATTGCTTGATTTCACTGGTAACATGGTGTAATGACTTTATATTGTCAGATCAGCTAAATATGATGTCTTTGTAATTAATGTATACAGCCAAAACTATTTGGCTAATGATATTTTCAAAAATATTTTTCTTTAATTTTATTTATTTTTTTATATATTTTTAAATTTTTATTTAATTTTCTTTAATTTAATTTTATTATTATTATTATTATTATTATTATTAAATGTTTTTTTTATTTGCTGTGTTGTGTGCGTGTCGTTGCTCCTCCGCGCCGCTGGGTGGCGCCAGCATCAGCAGCAGTAGCGGCCGCGGCGGCGTCACTCTGACGCCACAAACTCAGCGTTATTCGTCGTTGCACGATATCACTTCCGCTCGCTAAGAACAAGGTTAGTTTTCACACATTAACTACGTTTTAGCCTAGTTTTCAATCAGATATACGCTCTTCTGCTGTTATATATGATAAGAACATAAGAATGAATTGTGTGAAGCGTGTGTGTGTTTGTTTATAGATCAGATTTAAGATTGTAAACAGGAAGACAGCAGCGATCAGACGGAGATGTAAATATTAATGTAAATATTGAGGAAGTAACGTGTAAAATCGGACTTTATATTTTATATTTCTGATTAAGAATTACCCAGATCAGCTAAAGATGATGTCTTTGAAATGACTGTATACTGTAAAAATATTGCTAAGCGTAATGGAAAGCTACAGAACAATTTAATATATATATATACACACACACACACACTCACACTCACACTCACACTCACACTCACACTCACACTCACACTCACACTCACACTCACACTCACACTCACACTCACACTCACACTCACACTCACACTCACACTCACACTCACACTCACACTCACACTCACACTCACACTCACACTCACACTCACACTCACACTCACACTCACACTCACACTCACACTCACACTCACACTCACACTCACACTCACACTCACACTCACACTCACACTCACACTCACACTCACACTCACACTCACACTCACACTCACACTCACACTCACACTCACACTCACACTCACACTCACACTCACACTCACACTCACACTCACACTCACACTCACACTCACACTCACACTCACACTCACACTCACACTCACACTCACACTCACACTCACACTCACACTCACACTCACACTCACACTCACACTCACACTCACACTCACACTCACACTCACACTCACACTCACACTCACACTCACACTCACACTCACACTCACACTCACACTCACACTCACACTCACACTCACACTCACACTCACACTCACACTCACACTCACACTCACACTCACACTCACACTCACACTCACACTCACACTCACACTCACACTCACACTCACACTCACACTCACACTCACACTCACACTCACACTCACACTCACACTCACACTCACACTCACACTCACACTCACACTCACACTCACACTCACACTCACACTCACACTCACACTCACACTCACACTCACACTCACACTCACACTCACACTCACACTCACACTCACACTCACACTCACACTCACACTCACACTCACACTCACACTCACACTCACACTCACACTCACACTCACACTCACACTCACACTCACACTCACACTCACACTCACACTCACACTCACACTCACACTCACACTCACACTCACACTCACACTCACACTCACACTCACACTCACACTCACACTCACACTCACACTCACACTCACACTCACACTCACACTCACACTCACACTCACACTCACACTCACACTCACACTCACACTCACACTCACACTCACACTCACACTCACACTCACACTCACACTCACACTCACACTCACACTCACACTCACACTCACACTCACACTCACACTCACACTCACACTCACACTCACACTCACACTCACACTCACACTCACACTCACACTCACACTCACACTCACACTCACACTCACACTCACACTCACACTCACACTCACACTCACACTCACACTCACACTCACACTCACACTCACACTCACACTCACACTCACACTCACACTCACACTCACACTCACACTCACACTCACACTCACACTCACACTCACACTCACACTCACACTCACACTCACACTCACACTCACACTCACACTCACACTCACACTCACACTCACACTCACACTCACACTCACACTCACACTCACACTCACACTCACACTCACACACACACTCGCACACACACACACACACACACACACACATACACCTTGGCATCATCAACTGAGATGGTACCAGCACAGTACTTTTTATTACATTTGAATAATTTAATGCATATTTTAATTTTAATTTGAAAGATATTTTGTGAATAAATCTGATGTTCTGCCGTCTCTGCTGTGTGTTTGTCTTCAGTCAGCTGTCAGATATGGTTTGCATTCCCTGCATCGTCATTCCTGTGCTGCTGTGGGTTTATAAGCGCTTCCTGGAGCCCATCATCTATCCGTTCATCAGTCCCTTCATCAGCCGCTTCTGGAGGAAAGCAGCCGTGCAGGAGACTCAGAAGCACAGCACTGTAAATCAGCATTCAGCATTCAGATCTCACTCAAATCACAGCTTCACAAACCGTACAGCACTAGTTTCTAAATATTCAGTATTAATATATATATATATTTTTTTAAGTTGTTGTTTCTTTAGCATGTGTGTTTGCCTCAGTGTTATTTTTTTAGGATTACTGATGAACTAATGTACTTTGATTTGTATTAGTTATCTATTTTAGTTTTAGTTACATTTGTAGTAATGTTGTCATTTTATTAGTTTGCTTTTTATTATGTCTATATAGGCTTTTTAGTAAGTTTTACTTTTATTTATTTTGAGTTATTTCAGTACTTCAACATACAAAATGGAAATGAAATAATATATATATATATATATATTTAATTTATTTATATATATATATATATATATATATATATATAATTTTAATAATATAAATGCATACATTGTTATATATTAACATAAATATTAAATATTAATAAATACTATTTAAAATATATATTCTAATCATATAATTATGTATTATATTAATTATATACATTTAATTATATATTGTTATATGCACATATAAATATTAAATATTAATATAATATACATTTACTTATATATTGTAAGTTATTAATATAGATATTACATATTAATACATTTTATTTAACATATATATTTTAATAATATAGTTATATATTACAGTATATTATTTTAAAATGCATTTAATTATATATTGTTATATGCTTATATACATATTAAATATGAATCTAAATTTTAATGGCAATATTATTGTATTATAATATATTATTTTAATAATATCAATATTATTACAGTCATTTTCACAGAATAAATCACCCAGAAATGAAACTTCTCTTATTGTTTACGGTCATGTTATTGAAAACGTGTTGTTATTTGTTGAGTTTTTCGTCTGAAGCGCAAAAGAAAGAGTGTTTTTTCCAGTAGGTTGAGAAGCGTCAGTGCCAGAGTTTAGATACAGTTCTTCATGCTGTTCATCGTTGTCTTCCTCAGGCTGAATGCAACGGAACGGCAAACGGACCGAAGACGGTGACCGATAAAAAAGCCGACTGACAGATCTCACGCCTCGACAATCATCACGGATGATATTTCAAAATGTCGATATTTTAAAAAGTAAACTAATATATGGACACACACCGATCCTGTCACGTTGAAATACTTTAATAATGTTGAATAAAAATGAAGGTAGTAATCTGTAGATTTAGTTTTTATCATTCCGTGATCATTTACTGATTTCCACTCAGAACAACTACAGATTTTCTGTGTATGACTTATAATGCTTAATTTAAAATAAACATTGAATTATGTTATTTGTGGCTCGTGGTTTACCTTAATGATGCTTTCAATGGTGGATCTTTATAATAACTAAAATAACTAAATAAATAAAATAAGGTGGTTATGATTTACATGTATTAAGAAAGTTCCATAGCACACAATAGTACTATACCTAGTAAAACACACATACACACACACACACACACTCTCACTCGCTCACACACACACACACACACACACACTCTCTCGCTCACACACACACACACACACACACACTCTCTCGCTCACACACACACACACACACACACACTCTCTCGCTCACACACACACACACACACACACACTCTCTCGCTCACACACACACACACACACACACACTCTCTCGCTCACACACACACACACACACACACACTCTCTCGCTCACACACACACACACACACACACACTCTCTCGCTCACACACACACACACACACACACACTCTCTCGCTCACACACACACACACACACACACACTCTCTCGCTCACACACACACACACACACACACACTCTCTCGCTCACACACACACACACACACACACACTCTCTCGCTCACACACACACACACACACACACACTCTCTCGCTCACACACACACACACACACACACACTCTCTCGCTCACACACACACACACACACACACACTCTCTCGCTCACACACACACACACACACACACACTCTCTCGCTCACACACACACACACACACACACACTCTCTCGCTCACACACACACACACACACACACACTCTCTCGCTCACACACACACACACACACACACACTCTCTCGCTCACACACACACACACACACACACACTCTCTCGCTCACACACACACACACACACACACACTCTCTCGCTCACACACACACACACACACACACACTCTCTCGCTCACACACACACACACACACACACACTCTCTCGCTCACACACACACACACACACACACACTCTCTCGCTCACACACACACACACACACACACACACTCACTCGCTCACACACATACACACACACACACTCACACTCTCACTCGCTTTCACACACACAGTCTCACACACATACTTACACACACACACACACACACACACACACTCACACTCTCACTCGCTTTCACACACACAGTCTCACACACATACTTACACACACACACACACACACACACACACTCACACACACACACACACACACACACACACACT